TTTTAACATGCAGCACCACCTAGTGGAAAAGTTTTGCATTAAACGCACCGTTTCATTTCCTCAAGTTGCAAGTTAGAGCACGTTTCAAATTTCTTTAATAGAAGAAATTTAAAATCGCTGGATGGTGGAGGAAGATAAAGAACTCTGCTTTCGTAGCCACGAAAGCGAGAACAACTTGAGTGCTTACTGCCAGCTAGACATATCTTAAGGCATACCTTTCTCTTGGTGTGGGTGACCACGGAAAATCATGGTGTCTGGGAAGGATTTAATTGGAGTGACTGTCACATGCCAGGCTCTTTCCTGGGTACCTTCACATTTAAGTTCTCTTTAAACCTTTCAAAAAATCTTGGCAAGTAGATACTATAATATATATCCCCATTACAGACACACACTGGAATTAAGAGAGGCCAAGTTCAGCATCCCACAGTAAAAAGTAACAAAATTAGCCCTTGAGTCAAGTTTACTCTTTCAAATCCTGTGCTTTTCTCTCCCCACACTCCTATTAAAAAATTTCTAGGCCTCCATGGAAGGGTTCTGCTGAGGGTGTGTCCTCATGTCCTCAAGAGGGCCATAGGTGTTATGTAGATGAAATGACTCCATTTCACAGTTCTGGACATGATTCCTGGGCTGGGCAGACATCTATGAGTTACTACCGCTGATCTCAGTGGGGTTGTGGATGGCACCAGAGAGAAGCATTGCAAGAGTGCTCATTCCACTGCCGTCAAGTGACTACTGCACAACAAAGGCATATTTAGTTTTCTTCACCAACTATGCAGTGTGGACACAGATTCTGATTCTTTTCTAAAATTCTGAGTTGACTTAAAATAGTTATCTTCAATAGAAATTTTAGATTAATTTCTGTGGTAGACCTTAGTGTGAAAATTTTCAGAACTCGGTATAAGACTAATGGATAGCTCTTTTGGCTGTTAATAGTAAATGCTTTTTCAGCAACAGAACTTCAAATGTTTTTTGTTGAAGAGATATTCTAGTTTTTCCCTTTTGTTAGTTGTGGGGAAGTGTAGCAAGGAAGAAAAACTAGAAAGTTTGTTCATTACCTCCTTTTTTCCTCTTTTCAGGGATGTTTTACTACTGAGCTATATCCCCCCCCACCTTTTTTAGGTATTTTAGATACTTGTTGTTCCATATTCATGCATGCACACAGTGTAGTTGGAAACAATACCTTTATTTATTTATTTATTTATTTTTATGTGGTGCTGAGGACTGAACTCAGTGCCTCGTAGTTGCTAGGCAAGCGCTCTACCCCTGAGCCACAACCACAGCCCCCCCCCATCATTGTTATTTTTTATTTTGAGACAGTCTCACTAAGTTATTCAGGGCTTCCCTTAATTGCTGAGGCTGGCCTCGAATTTTTGATACTCCTGCCTCAGCCTCCCAAGTCAAAGGGATTATGGGTATGAATCACCATACCTGGCAAAACAGTATTAACTATATTAATATCAGTGATAAAAGATTTTAGGATTTTAGAAGTGGGCATGAGTTGCAGCTTCATGGCAGAGAATCTGGAGAATCCCCAGTTGTCCTTTGATGACAAGTGTTCAACATTAGTTCAGACTTTCTGAGTGCCAGTCTCTCACCTGAACCTACAGTAGCTCTGCAAGTAGGTGAGGCATAAGATATTGGTTGGCACTTATACTGGAGTGAGAACCTAACCTTCTCTCTGGCCATGATTTTTTTTTTTTTGGTACTAGGGATTGAATCTAGGGACACTTAACTACTGAGCCACATCCCCAGACCTTTTTGTATTTTATTTAGAGACTGGGTCTTACCAAGTTGCTTAGAGCCTCGCTAAGTTGCTGAGAGTGCCTCAACCTCCTGAGTGGCTAGGATTATGTGCATGTGCCACTGTGCCTGGCGAGGTTTAGAGGGTTTTTAAAAAAAATTTTTTTTGTGTGTTATAGATGGACAGAATGCCCTTTTTTTTTTAAATATTTATTTTTTAGTTCTCGGTGGACACAACATCTTTGTTGGTACGTGGTGCTGAGGATCGAACCCGGGCCGCACGCATGCCAGAGGAGCGCGCTACCGAATGAGCCACATTCCCAGCCCCTGCCCTTTTTTATTTGTTTATTTTTATATGGTGCTGAGGAACCCAGTGCCTCACACATGCTAGGCAAGTGCTCTGCCACTGAGCTACAGCCCCAGCCTGAAGGTTAGAGTTTTTAAAGTTAAAAAGCAAATGTCATAGGAAATGTGGGCACATTTACCAAAGAACCTGGATTTGTGAATGTTATCACCAGGGGGTGAAGGCGCAAGGTGGGTTGTACACCCCTGTGCTTTGGACTGGATAGTACTCTGGACAAACTCTGGAGGGAGTTTTTCTTTTCTTTTTCTTTTTTCTTTTTTACCATGTCTTTTTATATTTTATTTTTAGTTTTAGTTTTAAGTGGACACAATATCTTTATTTTACATTTATGTGGTGTTGAGGATAGAACCCAGTGCCTCATGCATGCTAGGCGACCTCTGTACTACTGAGCCACAATCCCAGGCCCTTTACCATGTTTTTTTAAATTGATGCATTAAAGTTGAACATACTTATGGGATTTATTGTTCCATATTCATGCATGCACACAATACAGTATAACAGTATGATTTGGCCAGTATCATTCCTGGAAGATTTTCGTACTGGTGCTCTGAGGAAAGGATTTCATAAATGTACTCTATTAAGACAAGGTCTTTTTTATTTATAGTAGAGGGTCTGTGGACCCCAGAAGTTATTATATCAAAATTCTATGTAAATGTACATTGGTTTTTCCCTCTGGGGATTGGTTTTTATCAGAGGTAAAAGGGATTATTAATCAAAAATAGTTACAACCCATATGACTAGTTGATGAAGGCTACCAGGTGACAGGGGACCCTCCTGAAGAGCACTAAGACAGGAGTTCAGAGCTTTGAGTTCTACCTGGTCCTGCCAATGGATTTGCAGAATTTCCTTCAGTGGGTGTTCTTACCTCAGTTTCCCAACTCCTGAAATTCTGAAACGGTCTCTGGAGGCCAGTGGCAGTGGTCAGTCTCAGGGACGTCTATAAGAAACGAGAGTTGTCAAAATGTGAAGTTTGAGGCAGGAGTAAGGGGCGGGAGAGCCACACTAAGGAGGCAGCTTATTTTGTATAGAGCTGGTCTTGCTTTTGTCTGGGTTTTTTGAGAACAAAGAAGTGAAAGCTGGTTAGAATTTGTTGCCCTTGAGACTTTTCTACATCTGTTCTTAAGGTAGAGAGCTATGAGTTTATTTAAAGAGTTTAATAAACCTCTACATTTTCAGATATGAAATGTGTTCTCTTTGTAGTCTTCAGATGCCCAGTTGTTGGCAGCAGAGGAGAGGAACCAAGTTATGCTTGACCTCAAAGCAGCAGGATGGTCGGAATTAAGTGAGCGGGATGCCATCTACAAGGAGTTTTCCTTCAAAAATTTTAATCAGGTAATTATAAATTCTGGTTAGCGTCACCGCAGGCTGTAACTCTTTTGCTTACTACTAATTGTCTGGTCCCATGTGGACCCAGGATGCACATCCTCTCTTAAGAGCTGGGGAATATGGCTCTGTAGGTAAGTGTTACTGGGTTCAATCCTTAGTATCTGCCCTCCAAAAAAAAAAAAAAAAAAAAGAAAAAAAAGAAAAGAAAAGAAAAAAAAATTCAGTGTTAGAGGGCATCCTTTCAGGTAAAAATTACCTCTTCTGGGGGAAGAGGTAATTTCTATTATTTGGAAAATCAAATTCTGAAACCACTGTTGATGTGATTAGGTGTTGGATAGTATATTTAGTTTTGGAATTTTAAATAACCTTTAAAGAGGGTGTGAAATTTTTATATTTATCAGAAAGGGGCATGAATAAGACCAATTGAGAAATAT